CACTTACTTATGATAAAATTCAACAAACTAGAAATAATCTAGTAAAACAACACCTTCTAAAACTACAGCTAATATTATACTCAGTAGTGAAAGAGTTAATGTTTTCTAGTCTGGAAATAAAGGGAGATGTTCACTCTTACCACTTTGTTTAACAGAATGCTAGAATTTCTAGGCAACTCAACAAGGCTGAAGCAAGAAATAAATATATTGACTACAAAGGAATAAAATTGGTCCTATTTTTAGACAATGCAATGCTTGCATAAAAAGCTCATGGAACCTACTAAAAATTCCTAAACTAATAAGCTCAGTAACTTTTTTTTTTTCTCAGAATCGTGGATTGAATTCAGATACTTGCACTTGCCAGGAAAGTGCTTATTCTACTGAGCCATCTTGCCAGCTCAGAAACTTTCTTTGCAGAATGTAAGACCAATACATAAAAAGAAAATGCATTTCTATTCACTAACAATGAAAAACATATAGTCTGAAATTGAAAGCAAAATACCACTTATAATGGCATCAAAGAAAAAGAAAATAGTTGGGTATGAGTTTAACAAAGTACATATGCAAGCTATATGTTAAAAAATTTCAAAGTACTGGTAAAATAAATCTAGTAAAATCTAAATGAAAAGAAAAACACAATATTCTTGACTTAGAAAACTCAACATGACTATAAGAGGAAGCCACCCACAAAAGCAACACAACTCCTAAAAATGGACTACATTAAAATTGAGTTTTTCCATCATTAAAAATACAAACAGGGGCTGGGGAGATAGCTTAGAGGCATAAGTACCTACCTGGCAAGTGCAAGGTCCAGAATTCGATCCCCAGCCCCATGTGCTATGCCTGCTGGCCCTGGAACTGGATGTGGTGGTGCACACCTGTAATCCTATCACTCAGGAGGTTGAGATTTTTTTTTTAATCTTAAAAAATTTTTATTTTATGTACAAAGAGTTTTCATGGTCTCTTTCATTGAGCATCTGTATGGCCTGGATAATCCAGCAAAGGAAGATCATTTAGTCCAACTTGATGAAGCCGATGTCCTTCATGTACTGACGGAAACACTGGCGGCACATGTTCAGCCCGTATTTCCGGATCAGACCATGTCAGTTCGAGCAGACGTGGCAAGAGTGGGAGCCCTGGCCAAATTTCCTCGGGTGGCTCTAGTAGAGTTGCTGGTGACCCATGTTGCTTCCAGAGGTACAAGGAGGCAAAAGGCGACAGGAGGATTTTGAGACCAGCCTCAAGGCTACAACGTGAGTACAAGGCTGGCCAGAACTGCAAAGCAAGATCCTTTTCAAGAAAAAAGATATGAACAGAAACGTTACAAAGTGAGAGAAAATATTTATGGAACAAGTAACCAACAAACAGTTGTATCCAGAATACACATGTAAAGAATTCACAGAGATCTACAGCAGAAAGACAACTCAGTTGAAAAACAGGCAAAAAACTTGAATCACCACCTTACTAAAATCACAAATCACAAAAAAGATGTTCAAATGGTTCAAAAATACGAAAATATGTTCAATGTCATTGTTAAGTAAGAAAGTGCAAATTAAATCACTGTACTTTTGGAAGTACAGCGCAGTTGTTAGGCAACCAGGATGATCATAGACTGATTGTGGGATTGTAAATTGGTACATTAGCCTTCAAGCATGAGTGGTAGCATCCAAAGCTGGCCCCCAAAACCTGGCAAATCTTCAGTTAGGAGCTTCACATATCTCAGAAGAAATTGCACACATGTTTGCCGGGAGCAGAATGCGTTAGCCCAAATGGATGCATTCTGAGTATCCATCAAGAGTAGGATGCATAAGGATGTATAGGTGAGTATGTGGTTTTTAAAATACAACTTAGTAGCAGTGCAAGTAAACCATAGTTACATGCACAAGGATACCCTTGATAGAAAGAAGCCAATCACCAAACAATACAGATATTTTTGCTTACAGAGAATTCAAAAAACAGCAAAATAATCTGGTATCAGAAGCCAAAATAATGGCTGCCTATGGGAAGTAGAGCGTAAACAGTGACCGGGAAGGTGTGTGCGAAGGACTTCCGGAATGTTGGAATATTCTCTCTCTCTGAAGACTTGACCCGAGTGAAGGTCATAGGGTGTGTTCATTATGATATAATGTAATGAGCTGTGTATATTTATGGTTTATGTATTCACTAATATGTATTTTAATTCAATAATGTATTTTAAAAATAGTCACATGAGTCATATCTAAATGGTTGCCTGTGAGGAAGCAACAGGAAAGGAGAAGAGATATTAAATAAAGATAACTAATTAGGTTTGTTGGTGGGTAGAGACAGGCAGCTAGACAAGAGGGTGAAATGGGCCCTGTAGTACCAAAGATTGTACAATCTGGTGTTGTCTGAAATGGACACTAAGTACAGGCAGGCATTTAAAATTGAATTTCACTAAATTAAAAGTTCAGTTTTTCCATTACATCGTTCATATTTCAAATGCTCAATTACCACACGAGCCCAACAGTACAATTGCTTACCACACTGGACAGATTTAAAAAGTGTTCTATGGCATAGTATAGGTAGATGTGGATGACATCACTGGGCATGGTGGTGCACACACATAATGCCAGCGCTGTGGGAGGCTGGGGGAGGAGGATTTCAAGTTTAATCTCAGCCTGGGTCGCTTAAGGACATAGTGTGCCTCTATCTCAAAAAAGGCAAAAAGAGGTGGGGGTACAGCTCCATTGGGAGCCTCTGTATTCCCTAGTATTGGGTGGTGGTGGGATTTGAGAAAGTAGAGGAAGAAAATTTGAGAACCATTAGTATGAAAGGCATAATTTCAGGAAACATACCAAAGTCACACAAGAACCAAGATTTTAGATAATTTCAGAGTAAGTGCATAAGTATTCATAGGTAAGTATGTACTTTTTTTTAAAATACAACTGAATAGCAATGAAAACAGAGTGTCAGATATTACCAAGAAGGACTTAAAACCACATGGTAAATAACAGGCTGGTGGAAAGTTTAGCAATACTACTTCTATGACTATGGAAGTCAGAGCGCAGGCTGCAGAGCATAGAGGCATGGAGTTAGAAATCCCCAGCAAACCTGAACTTTCCTAGAGACACTCATCTAGTATCTAAAATCCAGGAGGGCCAGAGGGTCCTAGAGATCTCAATATTGTGACTAGTGCAGATCAGACCCTGCTTGTCATACTCTGGAAAAATCTGGAAGGCTCAAACACACAAACACTCTTGTTTGAGTTCAGGCGAAGCTGCCAGTATGGTTTTTGTGACCATAAGGAAATGTCACAGAAGTTATTTTGCAGGTCACCATTGGGATTCCTGAGAATATATTCTACAGGGTAGGGCACATGGGTGTGTTGTCTCTCCATCCCTCTGTCTCTGTCTCTCTGTCTCTCCTTCTCTCCCTTTCTCTCCCCCTTTCTCCCACACCCACCTTGGGCACTGAATGGAATGAAACAGCAAGTCTATGGTGGTTTTCAAATACAGAGAGACATAATGGGTGACTTTTCCTGCCACCATCCTCTTTCCATAGAGAACAAGGATGGGTGAATTTTGAAGGTGAAGGCTCTTCTCAGGCACAGGAGACCTCAAGGTTTGGAGGAGCCGGAAGGCCAGGGTCACCGCTGAAAGCTCACCTTACTGCTTTACTCCTTTCCATTATTTCTCTGAATATCTTAGGCCACATGAGCACTATCTGCAGAGAAGATTTTGACATCTTTGTTTGCAATCACCATTTCCTCCTCAGAAGTCCCTTTGTCCCTTCCTCTCAGGACCTTTTTCCCCTCATAGACCCAGTGGTTCTCTCCCCCAGACCTTCAGATACCTCAAAGTCCCACATATCCCCCCCCTACATCTCCTGCTCCCTCAGGGTCTCCCACCCCTGCTTATTTCATGCTATTTCTGGCTCTCATCCAGCCTTGTGTTTACTTACTTCACTCCTCAGGCTTGAAGTCTCAGTCAATGCCAAGCCTTTATCTTTTCCTCTGGGAACATGTGCTGGTGGGTGTGGGAGTGGCCAGAGCGCCAGAGAGAAAGCAAGCCCCCACCCACCAGGGCCGCCCCGAAGTCCAGGCCTCAGTGATAAGAGAGGAGGAGCCCTGGGAGCTGCAGCTGTTGGGGTGTTGACTGAAAGGACAGCCAGGCTTGACAGCTGCTGCTTCTGGTGGAGACTCCTCAGCAAACTATGCTCCTGAGGTAGGGAGGAGTGAAGTAGACCATGGGTCAAGCCAGCCCGTGGGGATGCGCTCACTCCATCCTAGAAAGCGTATGGCACTCTTCAGCTAGTGTTGCTCTGCGTGCCACTGAAAGCCCCCACGTCTGACCTGAGGCCAATTCCGGGTGATGGGGAGGCACAGAATGACCAAAATGTATTCATCCGGTCTTTTTGAGTGGGGGAGGGGAGATCTCTATAAAAACCAAAGTCCAAACCAAATAATGCTGCAGAAAGTGAAGTAAAACCTCTGTGGCTTGGTGGAACCAGGAAACAGAGGCCTGTGGCATTTTTCACAATCAACCTCAGCCTCAGTTTCTACTGTGATCCCAGCCTGGCACCACAGAGGTGTTAGGGAAGCCTCCGTGGGGTCCCTCAGCCCAGTGAGGCTAGTTTCAATGTTTCTACTTCCCAGATAAGGAACCCAGCGGCCCTGTTGGACTGGGAGTTGAGGCCTTGTGCTCCACATTACAGGCCTGGTCAGCCTCTCATTGATGACTAGGAACAGGATGTGGGTGGCTGGGGACCAGAGGTCAGCCCATGGGGATGGGTGGAGCCAGGACACGGATATGGGCTCTTGCTGTTGATCCTGGCAGGGGTCTAAGGAAGGAATCTGGCCAGCAACCCAGCAAACATGACTAAAGCCACCTCTTACCTCAACCTCACCCCCACCTTCACCCCACCCCAGGACCCAGGCTCTCGGCATGCTGCTACCCAGCTGTCTCCCTCAGGAGCACCACCCTTGTAGAACAGAGATTTGTCATAAGCTCCCAGGGCATAGCCACCAGCTGTTCTCAGAAGGGAGGCTGAGACACATCTTCCACCCTTTCTAGGACTTTGGGGTTCCCCGTTCCACCTGGCCTGGGGGCAGGAGCCTGCTCCAGGAAGTTGGCATAATCTGCCTGACAGGTGGCCCAGGGTGCGGCCTGAAGGGTCAAGAAACTCCACTATATAGCACAGCCCATGCATGCTTTCCCTGCTGCTCCAGGGACCTGCAGGTGAGAAGGGCTGGGGACCCCTGTGGGAGTGGGAGAGCAAATCCCCTTCTCTAGTTCCTGGCTCCAGACTGCCTTATTCTTCCTGACTCTGAGGCCCTCTTCTGGGCATCCAATTCCCTTGATCCTGCCCTCCACACCTAACCCATCACCCACTGGACAGTAATCTTTCCTATACATGCATGTACACACACACACACACACACACACACACACACACACACACACACCCTTGATGTAGTCTTTCTTGCCCCATTTGGCTGACTTGCCTCTCTGCCATCTCAGCCCCTCTGCAACCCATGTGGCCCTTGTCCTGAGACCAGCCTCCTATGAGCCCCATTCCTCTTCTCTTGCAGGCATGGGTTCCCTGAGGAGCTGGTGGACGCTGTGGGCTGGAACAACCCTCCTGTGGGGTAAGTCAGACCAAGACTCCATCCATGGCCTTGTTCCAATCTGGAGGACTCTGCTTGGGACAGCACCCTCTGTCTGTCCCCTCTACAGACCTACCTCCCAGTTCCCCAGGCTAGCAGAGATGAGAGAGAGGCCCATAGATTCTGCAGAGAAATACAGTGGAATCCACCCATTATCTCTGTGTCTGTCTGTGTTTGTGTCTGTGTCTGTGTCTGTGTCTCTGTCTCTGTTTTTGTCTCAGTCTGTCTCTGTCTGCCTTTGTCTGTCTCTGTCTCAGTATCTGTCTCTCTCTTAGTTTCTATCTCTGTCTCTTCTCTGTTTCTATCTCTCTCCTGAATGGAAGCAGGTTAAAAAAATAAAAAAGAAAACCCCACAATCTTTCTTTTACCCTAGAATTCAAGTGTACAAAAGCTACCACTTTCTTGGTTTTCGGCAGCTCATCCAAGGTTTGGACCCTGAGGCTCATTCTGAGGTGAAGAGAAATTTCAGGAAGTCATTCTTGGAGAAGAGCTTTGTCCCTAGTTCACCTAGTGTTATGGGACTAGAGTGTTAGGTAAAGCCCAGGCAGTGGATGGGATATTAGAACCTTGTCGTCCCAGTTCAACATCCATCTAGGTTGCTTTAGAAATGTGTCGTCCCGATCCCCTGGCCCATAGGATGGCAGGATGTTCTTTAAGCCTTCTTCATTTTGCAGGTAGTGGGCTGTAAATCCTACACACTTGTGGAAACTTCATAGACCTATTTGTCTGCATGTCTACCTGCCTGCCTGCCTGTCTCTCTTGTTGTGGGGTGGCGAAGCTTGTCTCCCTTTATTTCTATGAGAGACACATTGTCCACATGCCTACCGTCCCATCTTCCCTTTATCCCCTCTACACAAAACCCCAAGATTTCTGCCCACTGAGGCAGAAATCTTACACTGGCAGCCACTTTGTGCCCCTAGGATTCTTAACACAGTTTTAGGTTAGAGATGTCAAGAAAAACCCCAAAGGGAAGATGCAGCATTTTAATTTCATTTAATTTACTTTTTAAAGTACTGGCTATTAGATGCAGGGCATTTGCACTGAGCTACACTCTCCAACCTTTTAAAAATTTCTTACATTTTGAAACATTGTGAGTGCTCAGATAATAGGTGTGCACCACCACACTGGCTTAGAGGCAGCACTTTGGTATTTTCCTAATACCAACCAAGCTAAAGAGAAACAGCAACCCACTTCAGGTGGTGTGTGCTTGTTTCAGTCTCTCCAGTCACTACCCAGAGTGTTTCTCACATTCATACAACTCACTTGGCCCTGGCAGCATTTGGGTTTGAGAACCCTGTCCACAGTGAACAGGCTTTTGGCCAATGAAAACCAAAAATCCAGAAGGGCTTGTGGATGAATGCTGTTGACTAAGAGGAAAGGAAAGGAGGAAGGAGAAATGCAGTTATTTCATTCTTTTTCCCGGCCCAGGGCAAGGGGTTGGTTCTCTGAGGGGAGGATTGGATAAATGGACCCACACCTGTGTTTTCTTAAGGGCTGAGCCAGGAGGCCCGAGTGGACCCCAGGAACTCTGGGGGGGAGGAGTTCCTCACGGCTTTTCTGCAGAATTTCCAGCCTGGGTACAGCACACCCCACCTCTACCTCTTCATCTCCAGTCTGTCAGAGAACACTGCTTTGGTCTCCATCCTCAGCCGGGCAGATGACACTTTGAAGAAGGTCACAGTGAGGCCTGGGGAGTCTGTCATGGTCAACATCAGTGCCAAGGCTGAGATGACTGGCAGCAACACCTTCAAGAGCGCGGTGGTGGTCCATTCCGACCACACCATCGCTGTGCAGGCGTTAAACTCTAAGCCCAACACAGCGGAACTGACACTGCTGCGGCCTGTCCAGGCCCTGGGCACTGAGTACTTTGTGCTTACGCCCCCGGGCACCTCAGCTAAAGATGTCAAGGAGTTTGCTGTGGTGGCTGGTGTGGCTGGGGCTTCAGTCAGTGTCAACCTTAAGGGGACAGTGACATTCAAGGGCAAATTATACCCCGCTGGCAATGTCCTAAGTGTGACTCTGCAGCCCTATGAGGTGGCCCAACTACAGAGCACAGGTGATCTCTCAGGGTCAGAGGTCACAGCCAGCCACCCTGTGGCTGTCCTCTCTGGCCACAGCTGTGCTGAGAAGCATACAACCTGCAACCATGTCATGGAGCAGCTGCTACCCACATCTGCCTGGGGCACCCAATACGTGGTCCCACCTCTGGCCTCCCAGTCTCGCTTTGATCTGGCCTACGTTGTAGCCAGCCAGACCACGAAGCTGACCTACAACCATGGGGGTACCACTGGCTCCCGTGGGCTCCACAAGGGTGATGTGGTTGAGTTTGAGGTTCGGCCCACCCGTCCACTCTACCTACATGCAGATGTGGGGATCGAGGTGCTGCTGTTTGGCACAGGTGCCATAAAGAATGGTGTGACCTATGACCCTTACCTGGTCCTGATCCCAGATGTGGCGGCCTATTGCCCTGCCTATGTGGTCAAGACTGTACCAGACTCTGAGGGGGTGGCCCTGATAGTAGCCCCGACAAAGGCAGTTGATGAGCTGACCATGGATGGGCATACACTGGGGGCCAAACTCACCTGGGCGCCTGTGCCAGGCAGTGAGTTCTCATATGCCGAAGTGGACCTCGGCACTGGTGACACCATCCACATGGCTGAGGCTGCTACCAACTTCGGGCTGCTCACCTTCGGGCTGGCCAAGGCTGTGGGCTACGGGACAGCATCTGCCTGCGGCCGGAGTGAGTGAGATATCTTACTCTGTCTACTGGGAGATCTTTTTCCTATCTACTTGTTTATCTGGGGCTTCCTACTCAGCAGGGCTGTCTGCCCCTCATCTTCCTCCTCCCCGACATCCTTTCCATCTCCTCTCACACCCAGAAACAAATCTAAATGTCTAGCTACCAGAGGGACCGCTGGCACGTCCAGCCACATGAGATATCAGCCAGAAGTCACCACTGTGCCCTTGTTGGTTGATTTGTGGGGAGTTTGGGGAGGGGTTCTAGGAGACAGCCAAGGTGCCAAGATGGAGGGATCTCTGGGGAGGGATCAGATCAATAGCTTCTTAGCAGCCATTTTGGAAACACTTTACTATTTTAGCAACTGAGATATCTGTACCTGTTGCTACCTGCTACGCTCCAGCCCTCGTCTATGTAGGAAACTTAATGCTTGAATTCAGATCTAAAAGTAAAATAATGGCGACCACCATGTTAGGGGCATCTCTCAGTGAGCTAGGGACCCTTCTAGGTGCTTTAGTTTTGAAGTACTTTGCAGGCCCTAGCCTGGGGGTAACCTCAGGTTCAGTGAAGAACAGCCACATGGCAATGTGAGTGATGTGACTGCTCAAACGCTGCAGGCATGGTGGCCTGGTTTAAATCCTAACTCTGCATTGGTGGCTTGGCTATGTGATGTCAGCTCTCTGGGCTTTGGTTTTTGCAGCTGGAGAACGAGGAATATGAAGAGCACTCCCTTTCCAGGGCTGTAGTGTGTGTGTGGGAGAGCAACTTAACAAGTGTAAACCACTTAGTGTGGTGTGTGGTGTAGTAGGGCTAGGTTGTCACCTCCTAGCATTAGGAAAGGTCAGAAGGCAAGAGTTCAAGGATGAGGGGCTGACAAGGAAGGGCTGTTTCTTCCCAGGTGACCCCTTCAAGACAGGACCTGAGATGCTAGGGTTCCCTAGTCAAAAAAATATGCTCTCCTGAGGGGCATGGAAGCCACCAGACTTCAAGGGACCACTTTGTCCTTGAATATAGAAGTGGGGTGGTGAAAACTGAGCAACTAGATTGACTCTAACTCTTACTTACATCCTAATTAAACTTGATATGATCCCTTCTCAAGCCCCTAGGAACTGAGTATTATTGATATCTACATGTTATAAATAAGGAACTTGGGCTTATGAGATAGCTCAGTGGACTAAGAGCCTGCTTAGGCAAATACAGGGACCAGGGTTCAATTCCTGGGACTGCATGCTGCAGGTGGCCACTTAGTCCAGGCATGGTGGCACATACCTATAATTCCAGCACTGGAGAGGATGAAAACAGGAGGATCACTGCGAGTCTGATCTGCATAGTGAGACCCTGTGCAAAATACATAATTTTTTTTAAATGAGAAACTTGAGGCCAACGATATTTAAAATAACTTGTCCAGAGTCACACAGTTAGTTGTTTGGGCCAGGATTCCTGATCAGGTAGCCTGTTCCACAAGTTGTGTTTGTTTTGTTCAATGGTCTGTCTTGCATTTTTCCATCCTTAAAAAAAGAAAAAACCCTTCCTTAGATTGGGTGTGGGGATGCATCCCAGCTCCCAGTGCTCCAGGAGGCTAAGGCAGGGGGATCAAAAGCTTGAACCCATCCTGGGCATTTTAGTGAGACCTTGTTTCAAAATTTAAACAAACAAACAAGACTGAAGATATAGCTCATTGCAGAAACCCTGGGCTCAGTCTCTGGTACTGAAAACAGAAAAATCCCCTAAACTGGACAGGGTCATGTTTGTCTATTATCCCAGCTACACAAGAGGTTGCAGCAGGATCAGTGCAAGTTTCAGGCCCATCTGGGAAATTTAGAGAGACTCTGTCTCAAAATAAAAATATAATGATCAAGTCAGGGATGTAGCTCAATGCTTCCTGTTTGGAAGGCGAGGTAAAGAAGGAGAGTGGAAGAGAAGAGCACCAAGTGACATTCCAATTGCTGCTGCTGCTCCTCATTTACCACCTTTGGCTTTTCTGGCCTGAGCTGTGATAAATAGAGGGATCAGGCTTTCAGGGTATCCCGAACAGCTCTCTGCTTGCCACAGTGCAGTTTCAGTTCCCCTCTCTAAAGTAAACAGTCATGAGGAGACACTTTGTTCTCCTGGGCTAGGTGGGAGGGCCCCAGACTTGCGTTCCCGGGCACTTGTGACGCTCTGTTCCCTGCACAGCCACCCTGCTCACAGCGGAGCCCTCCTGCAAAGGCGTGAAGTGCGCAGCCGGGCAGCGCTGCCAGGTGGCGGGCAGCAAGGCCAGGTGTGTGGCGCAGTCCACGGCCGTCTGCCTCGCCCAGGGCGACCCCCATTACACCACCTTCGATGGCCGTCGTTATGACATGATGGGCACCTGCACCTACACGATATCGGAGCTTTGCGGAACGGACGAGACCTTGCCGGCCTTCAGCGTGGAGGCTAAGAATGAGCACCGGAGCAGCCGCCTCGTCTCCTACGTGGGCCTGGTGACGGTGCGCGCCTACAGCCACTCAGTGACGCTGGCCCGTGGGGAGTTTGGCTTCGCGCGGGTGAGTGTCCACAGTGGTGGAGTGTGGAGAAGGGCCAGGAGTTGAGGGGAGAGAATTATAAATCAGTCACAGAATCTTAAAGCGTTTTCCTCCACCCATTCCACGTTCAGAAATGTTAAGGTTATTCAGAGAGATGGGTGGGTGGGTGGGGGTCCAAAATGAAACAAAACAAAATGCCAACATAGCTTGTGTAACAGCAAAAGGAAAAAATAAGAGAAAGAAGGAAACTATATCTAACTATCCAATCATGAGGGATTTCTGGATTGACCAAATCACTAAAGTTAGTGAGGACCTACTGCACGCAGGATCTCCTTCCTTCTTTCCTTTCCCTCTGAGATCTCAGTTCCTTCTTCCCTTTCCCCCTCATCCTCCCATTGCTGGGAATTAGTAGAGATTGAACCTAAGGCCTTTGCACAAAGCTCTGTCCCCAGCCTTGTTTATTAATTTGTTTTTGGCACATATTCTCACTAAGTCTCCAAGTTACCCAGGATGAGCCCAAACTTGCCACCCTCCTGCCTCGGTCTTCCAGGTTACAAGGATAGCAGGTGGACACCACCAGGACAGGCATCATCCTGCATTTATTGGGCACCTGCTATTCTGTTGTAGGCCAAAAGAAAGCAGTGATCAAAACAGACCAAAGCCAGGAGTGGTGGTATACACCTATAATCCTAGAACTCAGGAGGCTGAGACAGGAGGATCATTTTGAGACCAGCTTGGGCTACAAAGTGAGCTCAAGGCCAGCCTGAACTGCATAGCAAGAACCTGTTTCAAAAAGAGAAAAACAAAACAAAACAAACCCACAAAAAGCCCTGTCCTGGTAGAGCTGACATTCTAGTGGGGACATTATAGATGATAGAGTCTAGAAGTTTGCAAATTATATTTTAGAGGCTTTGAGGCTAGAGGAGAAAAGGAAGGCAGAGCAGGAGAATGCCTCACCAAGTCAGTGACATGTGAGCTAATACCTTTCAGGAGGTGAGGGAGGGAGCTAGCATAGAGCTGGGGGAAGAACATATTAGAGCACGGGAAGCACAATGGCAAAGATCCCAACTGAGGCTAAATCAGATGTGGCAGTGTTTGCCTGTAATTCTGGTACTCTGAGGGGCTGAGGCCGAAAGATCACGAGTTCCAGCTTAGCTAGGGCAATTTAAAGCCTTTGTGAGACCCTGTCTCAAAATTAAAAAAAATAAATAAGGGGGTGTAGCTCAGTGAAAAGGCTCTGGATTCAACTCCTAGTATCATAAATAAGCAAGCAAACAGGAATATACCAAGGCTGGAAGGTGGCAGTACCAGGATTGCGGATGTCCCTGGTGCAGGGGAAGTGGGAGGAGATGAGGCTCTGTAGGGGGGAAGCCCTGGGCTCTGACCACTGTCCCCTTTGCAGATCGACAACCAGCGTTCTCGCCTGCCGGCTTCCCTGAGCGAGAATCGCCTGCGAGTGTACCAGAGTGGATCACGGGCTGTGGTGGAGCTGAGTTTTGGGCTGGTGGTCACCTATGACTGGGACTGCCGGCTGACAGTGAGCCTGCCTGAGAGCTTCCGAGACCAGGTGTGCGGGCTGTGTGGCAACTATAACGGTGACCCTGCTGACGACTTTCTCACGCCTGAGTTGGAGCAGGCTGAAAACCCCGAAGAGTTTGCCAGTAGCTGGAGGCTGGATGATGGGGACTACCTGTGTGATGATGGGTGCCAGAGCAACTGTCCCACCTGCACCCCAGGTCAGGCCCAGCACTATGAGGGCAGCCCTCTCTGCGGCATGCTGACCCTGTCTGAAGGCCCCTTTGCTGCCTGCCATGAATCCCTGGACCCCCAGCCCTACCTGCAAGATTGTGTGTATGACCTGTGTGTGACTGGAGGGGAGCGGCTCAGCCTGTGTCGTGGCCTCAGTGCTTATGCCCAGGCCTGTATGGAGCTGGGCATCTCCATAGGAGACTGGAGATCACCTGCCAACTGTCGTGAGTAATGACCAGGATGGGGCATGGAGCACACTGTGGGAGATGAGGAACCCCTTGCTTATGCTAAATACCTGAGCACTTATTGTGGGTTAGCCCAGTGCTAGGCAATGCAGGAACACAGTGGTGGCTAGAACAGCTGTTCTTTACCACACTGAGCCTGAGCTTGGGGCGGACACATCACACTAGACAGTGACAGTTTGGTGTGGTTGGGGCTGGGATGGTCAAGATGTAGGTAGTCAGTGTCGAAACAGGGAGACAGGGCATTGGGATGAAGAAAGTCTAAAGGAATATAGAACAGCAGAGAAGGGTCATGATGCAGGCAAGTGGAATGCTTCAGGGAGATTTCCTAGAAAAAGAGATGCCCACTCAGGAGTGATGGCACATCATATAATTTCAGCACTGTGGGAGGCTGAGGCAGGATGACTGTGAGCTCAAGCCCAGCTTATGTAGTTCAATGACAGCAGCACCCTGTCTTCCCCTCCCATTTTTTTTTTTTTTAAAGATTGGGATGCAGCAGAGGGTGAAGGTTCTAGGTCCACTCTGCAATACTTATGAGGTGGGGAGGGGATGTCCAAGGAATCCCATAGGAGGAGCTGGAGATTTAAAAAAAAAGGAAAGGAAAAAGTGAATTTTTTTTGCATAGCAGGAAGGCAGACTGCATAGTTCCATGGTAGACATGTGATTCCCTTTTCTTATCATCCCTCATGGCTTCCCATCACCCTCTAGAGAAAGTCCAGTCTCTTACAGCACGTGTCCAATCTGCACTGTCAGTCATTCATTCTAGAACTCCCCACATGTCCCCATGCTCTGCTAGGGATGTTGAGGACACAGTAGAACCTGCACAGACCCAGCTTCGGTCCTTGTGCGGCTGCAGAGGAGGCAGAAAGATGGAGGGACTTCAGAGGGGTATTACGTGTCAGGGAGACACTGAAGGTACTTTGAATTTGTCTAGGTCACTGCCATGTCCCCACTATTCACTAAGCCTCCCTCCACCCCAGTTCCTTAATTCCACATCCCAAAGAGGAACCATAGAACTCATTCAACTACCCAAAATTTCCACTGTGCGCCAGGACCTGTCCTTGGTGCTGATCCAGCAGTGCTTGATCCCAGGAGAAGGGGAGTGGGTGTACCATGAAATGTTTTCTGAAAGCAAAGGAAATCAAATTCATGTAAAGGAAGTGTCTGGGAGGATCAGGAAGCTGGGAATCAGAGAAGACCCTGGTGAGCAGGTGACGGTGAAAGTGAGAGCAGGGTCTGACAATCATCAGCTGAGCGATGACGATGATGATGTCCATGGAGCACGGCTATGTGAATTAACCCTCACAACAGCCTACAGAGGTCTGCACTGTATGATCTCATTTTATTGACAGGGGAACTGAGGCACAGAGAGGTCAGAGTCATGAGCTTGTGACTTTCTGAGCAAAGGGTGGGATAGGCAGAGGAAATGGCTGGTGCAAGTGAACCAAGGTAGGAATCTGAGAACCAGGGACAAGTTCCCTGTGGGGATGGCAGAGTGAGCCACAGGGGAGGTGAGATGCAAGGGCAGAGAGGTGATGGGGGACAATCATGCTGGGCCTTGAGGGCCTTGGGAGGACACTGGCTGCTCCTGAGTGCGATGCATCCACAGGAGGATTGGGGGGTGGCGCTTTCATGGGTCCTTCTGGCTGCTGGTGGTGGTGGGGCAGGCAGGCAAGAAGCCAAGCATGTGGCTGGGCCAGGCAGGTTCTGGTGGATTTTAAATATGGAGCTCACAGAACTTACTGACATTGGCTGTTTTGTGAATGGGAGGGGGGAGGGTGAATTGCAGCCCTGCGGGGTGACCTGAGCCACTCCAGACAGAAGCGCCACTACCTGAGAGCCCATCTCTGGGAGCAGCTGGGTTTTCCCGAGGTGCTTAGGGAGTCCTGGTGCGCCCTCCCCTGACCCTCTCCATCCCCCTGCAGCTATGTCCTGCCCGGCCAACAGCCGCTATGAGCAATGCAGCCCCGCCTGCCCGGCCACCTGCAACTCCCAGGCGGTGCCATCCAACTGCTCTGAGCTCCCATGTGTGGAGGGCTGCGTGTGCCTGCCCGGCTTCGTGGCCAGTGGTGGTGCGTGCGTGCCTACCTCATCCTGTGGTTGTATCCACGAAGGCCGCCCTCTGGCACCCGGCCAGCAGGTGTGGGGTGATGATGTGTGCCGCTTGCGCTGCACCTGTGATGGCGCCACTCAGGAGGTGACCTGCCAGAACACTCAGGGCTGCCCTGAGGGTGAGCGCTGCCGCGTTGAGAACGGCCTCTTGGGTTGCTATCCTGACAATTTCGGGAGCTGCCAAGCATCTGGGGACCCACACTACATCAGCTTTGATGGCCGGCGCTTTGACTTCATGGGCACCTGCACCTACCTGCTAACGGGCTCCTGTGGCCAGAACTCAGCACTGCCCACCTTCCGCGTGCTGGTGGAGAACGAGCATCGTGGCAGCCAGACTGTGAGCTACACAAAAGCTGTGCGGGTGGAGGCCTATGGAGTGGAGCTGGCCCTGCGCCGGGAGTACCCGGGCCAAGTTCTGGTAAGCCATGATCTCTGTCCCTGTCCAAGATCCTGTTCCTGAATCCTGAGTGGGGCTGGAGGTCTATTAAAAGATCTTGCAAGCTGGCCCACATGGTGAACCTACAATCCCAATGCCCCATGACTCCAGGCAGAGGCAGAGGCAGGAGGGTTACAAGTTTGAACCCAGCATATGCAATTTAACAAGACCTTGTCAAAGAAAAAAAAAAAAAAAGGAAAGAGTTGCGGGTGGTAGAGTAGGGTTCAGAACCCTAATAGTGAAAAAACCAAAATGGTCCTCCATGCAGGACCCACCAGAAGCCTCCCAGGTTGATGGTGGAGATTTACTGAATCCATACCCGTAACAGCCTTAGCCCCCACCGAATGACCAATCCATGTTGGCTGTTGTTATTTTTGTTGTTACCAACAGACTTATAGATCTGTGCCTTTCCTAGGAGGATGACTTTTCTGAGATAGGTGACACATTCAGTCATGTGTTAAGTGAGGGAACCAGTGGGCCCATGTATGTTGGGGGATAATCGAGGTGTGCACCCAGCTCCTCAGTCTGGGATGGGGCTGGGGCCTCACAGATGGGGAAGCATGTCCCTCTGGTTTCTGGAGAGAGGGAAAGCCACACACTGGAAGTGTAGCATCACTGATTTTGTCTTCACAAAAATATACAAGTGGAAAATCAGGGTGGTTAGGACATGGACACAATGGGTACTAATTGCAATTGAGTGGTTTGAGCAATGGCCCATGGAGATTCTCCCTGGGGAGAAAGGTCAATGATCCAGAAATGGGAGACAGAGAACTTTCCATGTGCCAGGTGCTGTACCAAAGCCTTCCTACCTTGGCTCCTAATCCTCACAGCCTCCTTGGGGGAGGGAAATTTGGCCCCTAAGCCCCAGTGTTTGGTGTAGAGGTGCTAGATAAACAGAAGGCATATTTATTAATATGCATTTATGTTCCCACCTCTCTGAGATGACATTTTACTTGAGGCGTGAATAGTAATAACCACCCTGAATGGTTACTTCCTTGTACAAACTGCTCGACACATATGAATTTGTTTTATTGCTCTAACAGCCCTGTGAAGTGGTTCATCTTAGGTGAAGGAACTGAGACCCAGAGAAGTTAAAGCACCTGTTCAAGGGTGGTAGAGCAGGGATTTGGAGCTGGCCTGGCTCCAGGGTCCTTACTTTTAACCATTATAATCTATTGCTTGGTCTGAGGAAAGACATGGAACAGACAGGGAAAGAAGCAGGTAGAAGGAATAAGGAATAACAAACACGAAGATTCTGGGAACAGGGATAGGGTCAAGGGTCTGAGCAGTGGCCAGGAGCCAGTGGGGCCAGCATGGAGGGACAAAGGGAAGAGTGAGGAAGGGCGAGGCAGGAGCCAGCTAAGGTCTGGCTTTTGATTCCAGCAAAGCCATAGGGGATGAGGAGGAGGATGCTGGAGGAAGAGTGGTGGCTCCTGGCCAGAGAGAACAGCAGGGAAAATTGAGGCTGGACTGAGTTTAAAAAGCAAAGAAGAACAGCCCTGAGGCTGATAGGATGTGCTGAGGATGCAGTTGGGAGATGGGCTGGGGCAGGAGGCAGGAGACAGCCAGAAAGGCAAACAGTAATGTGTAGAAGACGGTGGGAGGGTTGGAAGCAGGGGTGGAGTACGTGCAAAGGCCCCGAGGCTGGGCTGAGCTGCTGGTAGAGTCAAGATGCTGGCACAGCTGGAGTTTCTGCAGGGAGGGCCCTGGGAGATTGAGTTGGAGAATAACAGGACTCTGATCATCTAGGGTAGGGATGCTGCAACCCTGAACCGACTTAGTTATCCCAAAGTGCTAGCCCTGCAACCAAACAGGAATGCTGAGGCTTTAGTTTAGTAAAAGCAGCTGCCATTGGATGCATGCTTGCTGGGGCCACTTGGCTCCTGCACTGACAGAGAAGGCTCTGTGTGCCTGCTGTGGCCCATGTGCCTTTGGTTTGCCAGCATTGCTCTAGGGCCTCTCAGGCCATGGTAAAGAGTTTGGGCCGAAGCTGACACCTAAAAGATAAGGTAGGCTGGGTGTGGTGGTGTACACCTGTAATCCCAGCACTGGGGAGGCTCAGGCAGGATCATTGGGAGTTCGAGACCAGCCTGGGCTACAAAGTAGGCTCAAGGCCAGCCTGAACTGCAGAGCGAGACTGTCTCAAAAAGAACAAGAAAAGATAAGGTAGCCAGATAAAGGGTGATGGCTGGTATCCCCCAAAAGAAGATGCTGCCCACGTCAAGGTCCTGTGGTGGGAATGCAGGTGCGTCATTCAGGGGCACAGCAAGGAGCGAGTGTGTGATGTGGTCAGCGATGTAGGGAACAAGATAAGCAGGGCTGAGGTGAAACCAGGACCTTTCAGGAAAGGGCTTGGTTTAGGCCAAAGTAAAAGGTAAAGTGGATTTAACAAGAAGAAAACAGTGGGTGGTGTTTTGGCAAAGCATAAAGTGCCTTGGTACTTGAGGCTCAAGGACCAAGAGGAGAGTGTGAGAACTCTCAGAGGCTGGGGCTTGTCCCTGATCCCAGCTCACGGGGAGGCTGAGGCAGGAAAACGACAGGGTCAAGTCTAGCTTGGGTAATTTAGTGATTCAGTGAGATCCCGTCTCATAATAATACATTAAAAAGGGGGCTGAAGATGTAGCTCAGTATGAAGGTATTGGGCTCATTTTCACTTCCAAAAGTGAAAGAAAACAAAACTCATAACAGCGAAGCCGGGTTGCTGGAGCTAAGTGGGAGGGGCGCCCCTGAGCCCCGATTGTGCTGAGCAGCGGTCCTCTCCTCTCTCCCAGGTGGACGGCATCCGCCACTACCTGCCCTTCCAAGCCGCGGATGGGCAGGTGCAGGCGTTCCGCCAGGGCAAGGAGGGTTTCGTGCGCACAGACTTTGGCCTGACCGTCACCTACAACTGGGACGCCCGAGTGACCGCCAAGGTGCCCGGTAGTTACAATGAGGCCCTGTGCGGGCTGTGTGGGAACTTTAACGGGGACCCAACAGACGACCTGGCTCTGCGGGGCGGAGGCCAAGCTGCCAACGCCCTGGACTTTGGGAACAGCTGGCAGGAGGAGGCCACGCCAGGCTGCGGGGCCACTGATCCTGGTGACTGTCCCACACTGGACTCCCTGGTGGCACAACAGCTGGAGAGCAAGACGGAGTGCGGGATCATTGCTGACCCCAACGGACCCTTCCGGGAGTGTCACGACACGCTGGACCCGCAGGGTGCAGTGCGTAACTGTGTCTACGACCGCTGCCTGCTGCCGGGCCAGTCTCAGCCGCTGTGTGACGCACTGGCCACTTACGCCGCCGATTGCCAGGCTGCGGGGGCTACAGTGCATCCCTGGAGGAGCGAGGAGCTTTGCCGTGAGTACCGAGAGTGGCCACGTGGGGGTGCAAACTCACGTTTCTCGTTAACGGGCTCCCCTACGCGTTTCAGCTCTTACAAGGGCCCCGTGACGTGGTGATTGTGCTTATATGCATTTATCAGACGAGGAAACCGAGGTTTAGAAACTTTTAGTTGCACCCCTGGAATCATGAAAGCTAGGATGTCACAGACAGGAGACCTTCAGTCATGTAAGGACAGGGCATACCTAGTGCCCAAGTCTGATTTCTGTAAAATGGTTGTCATTCAGAGCAGTACTGCGTTTAGAAGGAGCATGGTCCCCTCTCCTCTTGATCCCCATCCGGCCTGCTCTGCCCACTTACAGCATCTGCCTGACCCCTTAAAGGCCATGGGAGAACCTTGGTTTCCTATAATCCCAGCTACTCAGGAGGGCGAGGTAGGAAGTCAGAGAGTTTGAGGCCAGCCAGTCTCAAAAGGCTACCTCAAACTAAAAACTAAAAAGGGCTAGGGGTGTGGTTCAGTGGTAGAGCACTTACCTACCATGCACAAGTCCCTGGGTCTATCACCCAGCATGCGTGCACACGTACACACACACACACACACACACACACAGGAGAGACAAAATGTGAATGCAGAAATGGTCTGCAAAGATTTCTGTTTGCTATCAAAGAAATTTAGAAAGCCACGCATTGCCTCACTTTAAATTTACTATCAAAATTGAATACAGTTTAGCTGGGGATACAGCTCAGCGGCACAAGCACCTGCCTGGCAGGTGAAAGGTCCAGAGTTCAATTTCCAGTGCCATAAAACAAACAAAAATTTAATGCATTTATTTTAAAATATGTATCTACCATAAGCAAACAGATGGATCAATTTTAGCACCTTGTCAAATCTTTGCAGTCACAAGTTCAAGAAAAAAGAAATACTAGGTTCCCAGAGCTATGTTACCCTCAGATATCCATCATGTAGTTTTCCACAATGATTTATATAATATTGAATAAAAATCCAGTTTTTGTAGACAGGCATAGTGGCATGTGCTTGTAATCCCAGCACTTGGGAGGCCAGGGCAGGAGGATTGCCACAAGCCTGGGCTACGTAGTGAGTTCGAGGCCAGCCTGAAGTACAGAGACCCTGCCTCAGAAAATATCCAGTTGCTACCTGAATTACGTTACTCTTTTGAATGTCTTCAGTAGATCCACAGCAGGTAGTAGCACCATCACTGCCCACCGACAACATGCATAATAAATACACAATTGTCACTCAATCCTGCTTTATCTTCCAACTTACATTCTTTCATCCACGCATTCATCTAACGAATATAGTCAGATGCCATATAAGGATGTTTTGGACAAGGATGGACCATATATATAATGGTGGCCCTTTAGATTCTATCTTCTAGTAGTATCGTAGCCTTTTTAGTTTCTCTAAGTGCACTGATGTTCACACAACGACAAAACCTTTTCTCTCTTTTTGATACTGGGAGTTGAACCCAGAGTGCTGGCACTAAATTATATCCCTATCCCTTTTGAATGTTTTTATTTCAAGACAGGGTCTCACTAAGCTGCTAAATTGCCCAGGCTGGGCTGAACTTGTGACCCTCCCTCCTTCAGTACTTGGAAAACCACTATGCCTGGCCACAAAATATTCTAATAACACATTATTTTTCAGAACATATCCTGGCCACTTAGCAACAGTGACTGCATTTGTTAAACACTTATCAAATTTCAGGTCCTGTCCTAGGAACTAGGGTCACAATAGGTAAAGAGAAAAAAGAAAGTCTTTGTCTTCTGATGTTCTAGTGGTTCTTAGTTCCAACATGATCTAGCCTGATGTAACATATTTGTATCCATGCCAGCATTTTTTAAAAATCACAGCATCAGTTAGCTTCTTCTGTGTAACAAATAGCCCCTTAAAATTTAGTGTGTTAAAGCAAATTGTATTATTTCTCATGATTCCAGGGGCTGCTGGGCTATTCTTTTACTCTAGACTAGATTTGTTGATTTCTGTATTTTTCCTGGCAGCTCAGCTGAGGCAGGAGGATCTCTGATGGCTTTACACATCTGGCAGTTATCAGTTAGACTGATGGTTCGGGGGGAGCACATTAGCTGGGCTTGTGTGTCTTTGCTCCTCTTGGCTTCAACTTCTAGCAGGGTGGCCCAGGTTTCCTTGCAAGGTGATCTCAAGATTATGAAGAACAGGAATAAGCCCAGGGCAGATACATCACCCTGGTGCCAGGGATAGAATTCAGGGCCTTGCATAATCTAGGCAAGTGTTTTTTCACTGAGCCAACTTTAAATTATATTTGGAGCAATGTAGGTCTTACTATATTGCTGAGGCTGGACTTGAACTTTTGATCCTTCTGTCTCAGCCTCCCCAGTAATCTGGGATTACAAGAGTGTACCCTATGCCTGGTACACATGCACTTTTCAAAGCCCCGATTGATATTGCATTTGCTAATGCTTTGTTGGCCAAAACACAGACAAGTCCTGTTTCCACAAGGCCCTTAAATCAGTTGGTTGTTGAATGAGAAATTGTGTACAGTATGTACAAGGTTCAGAACACAGAAATGGTCCGAGGACACTCCCACCTGATGACTTGCTTTTCTTTGCATAGTTTTCACGTGCAGTCCTGTAAAGTACATAACACAATATAAGACCAGGCCACATTGAGCAAAGGGGCTCATGCAGTGGGGCCAATCTGTACGTGTGTGTGTGTGTGTGTGTGTGTGTGTGTGTGTACTTGTGAATCTTGGGGATCAACTGTGTTGTCCTAGAATGAGAATTCCTGATGCTAACAGCTTCTCTCCCACAGCACCGAGCTGTCCTCCTCACAGCCACTACGAGTCCTGTTCCTATGGCTGCCCACTGTCCTGTGGGGACCTCCCGGTGTCTGGGGGCTGTGGCTCAGAATGCTATGAAGGCTGTGTGTGTGATGATGGCTTTGCCCTCAGTGGTGAGTCCTGCGTGCCACTGGCCTCATGTGGCTGCGTGCATCAAGGCACCTACTACCCTCCAGGCCAGACCTTCTACCCTGGGCCTGGCTGCGACTCCCTTTGCCACTGCCAGGCGGGTGGTCTGGTGTCCTGTGAGCCTTCTAGCTGCGGCCCGCATGAGGCCTGCCAGCCATCCAATGGTGTCCTGGGCTGTGTGGCTGTGGGCTCTACCACTTGTGAAGCTTCAGGAGACCCCCACTATACCACCTTCGACGGCCGCCGCTTCGACTTCATGGGCACCTGTGTGTACGTGCTGGCTCAGACCTGTGGCACCCGGCCAGGCCTGCACAACTTCACTGTCCTGCAGGAGAATGCACCCTGGGGCAATGGGCATGTCAGTGCCACCAGGGTGATCACGGTCCTCGTGGGCAACTACACAATTCGCCTGGAGCAGAACAAGTGGAAAGTCACGGTGAGGGGGGGGCCCTTGGGGAGGCGACCTGTAGGGGAGGGTGTGATAGGTGAGCACATAGCCAGGAGGGTGCACAGGGCCATGCAGATGTGGGAAGCATAAGGTGCTGGCAAACAGCAGAGGAGAGAGGAGGCCTCAGGGACCAGGACCTGCTCCGGGTGGCTCAGGCTCTCCCTCTGAATATGTCTGCTTCCACTTCCGTATACCCCACCATAACCTGGTCCTGCCCCGCTATCTCCTTGGTCCCCCACCCATCCAGAGGGCTTGGCACAATGAGAAAATGGGAGTTGGGAGAGGGGACAAGGCCAAGGCCCAATTGGTGCCGATCTCATCTCTCCCATAACATCAACAGTGCCCCAGCCACGGACTTCACACGCTGCCCCTGGAGTTTGTTGGCTGTTAAGCACTTCACCTCCACAATGGTATCCAGGGGCACTGAGACTGGCTTCAGTGTTTTTTAAAGGTGATGTCTGATCACTGGCCCAAAGGCCCCCTAACAAGGGCAGGATTTGAACTGAGGGTCGTGTGCTGGGAGAAGGTGGCCTGGGTTCTGGGCTCTGACCAACAACAGATTTGGTCTCTTGTGGAAACTGGCACTTCAGTTTACACTGGAAGGATCTCCCAGAGATGCTGCTAAAGAGCAGGCACACACCACTGTAGGAGTTGTGATGAGCACTCTGATAAACAGCTGAATTTCCTGGGTGCCCAGGGCTTGCCTTACGTCATTCAGTGTGTTCCTTAGCTCCTACAGTAACATCTGATGTGTGCTCCTTAGCTCCAGATGCACAGGAGGTGGGATGTAAACAAGAACATACCTTCCCTATGAGGTTGAACCTCTATTTATTTATTTATTTATTTATGACTAAGGATTAAATTCAGGGCCTTTACAATAAGCTACTTCCCCAGGCCTCTAATTTTTTTTTTTTTTTTTTAATTTTGACATAAGGTTTTGCAAAGTTACTCAAGTTGAGCTATAACTTGAGATCCTCCTGCCTCAGGCTTCCAGGGCCCTGGGATCATAGGCATGTGCCACCATGGTTGGCTGGGTCACACAGTTCTTTAGTGTCAGGCAGGGACATCTGAGAGACTGACCCACCCTTTTCAAAGTGTCCCCTCTTAAGCGTAGCATCTCTTGCCTCCCAGGTGAACGGTGTGGACAAGAAGCTGCCTGTGGAACTCGATGGGGGTCAGATCCGTGTCTTCCAGCATGGCTCAGATGTTGTGATTGAGACCAACTTTGGCCTGCGTGTGGCCTATGACCTCGTCTACTATGTGCGAGTCACTGTCCCAGGCAACTACTACCAGCAGATGTGTGGCCTGTGTGGAGACTACAATGGCGACCCCAAGGACGACTTGCAGAAGCCCGATGGCTCGCAGGCAGCCAACCCCAATGAGTTTGGCAACTCCTGGGAGGAACCAGTGCCCAGCTCCCCCTGTGTGCCCACGCCGGACTGCACACCCGGTGAGGAGGGCTGCGAAGAGTGCAGCTCCGAGCTGAAGGAGAAGTACCAGAAGGAGGAGTTCTGCGGCTTCCTCACAAACCCCAAGGGCCCGCTGGCTGCCTGCCACAAGCTGATCGATCCCCAGGGTCCCCTGAAAGACTGTGTCTTCGATCTCTGCGCGAGTGGCGGGAACCTGAGCATCCTCTGTAACAACATCCATGCCTATGTGAGCGCCTGCCAGGCAGCTGAAGGCCAAGTGGAGCCCTGGAGGAGTGAAACTTTCTGCCGTGAGTGACAAGGACCCTGAGGGGGGCGGGGAGGCCCCTCAGCAGCGCCCCTGGGCAGTGGTCTGACCACATTTCCTGTCACTGCAGCAATGGAGTGCCCTCCCAACAGCCACTATGAGCTCTGTGCCGACGTCTGCTCCCTGGGCTGCTCCGCTCTCAGCACCTCACTGCAATGCCCGAGTGGGTGTGCCGAGGGCTGTGAGTGTGACTCTGGCTTCCTTTACAATGGCCAAGCCTGCGTGCCCATCCAGAAATGCGGCTGCTACTACGATGGCGCTTACTATGAGGTAGGAACGCAGCCATCTGGGATGGCCCTGGCGCCCATCTAGCCTTCTCTCTAGCGCCCATCAGCCCCAGAGCCCTGGACAAATGAATACTTCCCCATCCACCTGCCCGCAGTCCCACCTTGGCCCAGTATGTCCTTTCTGAGCCCCTACTTTTGCTTTCTCTGGCCCACCCTTTATATGGGAAAGAGCTTTCTAAGCATGGGAAAGAGCTTTCTAAGCATGGCCACGGAGCCTAACCCTTCCCTGGCTCCCGTGTCAGGACTGAACCCAAGCAAGGCCTTGCACATGCTACACAAGCACTGAGTTACAACCCCTCCCTTAAAAAATGGTTTTCTCAAGACATAATCTTGCCAAATTTCCCAGGCTGATCTCAAATTTGCGGTCTCCTGCCCTCAGCCTCCCAAGTAGCTGGGATTACAGAAACACAGCAGTGCGTCAGGCAAAGGCTCAGCTGTGAATCCCAGATCTGGGCAGGGGTGGCCTTCTTGCCCACTGAGATGATACTGTCTGTTATCTGTGCCACGGGCCAGCTCTCTCTGCTTCTATCTTTCCTTTCACTTGAGTGTGTTTGTCTAAAGTCTGTCTCTTGCAGGACTTGCTTTTTTTTTTTTAGTATAGGGATCATGTGTTTTGAACCCAGAGCCTTTACAGCCCAGCCCTTTTTTATTTTTTGAGATAGGATCATGCAAGTTGCTCAGGCTGGGCTTGAACTCTTGACCTTTTTGCCTCAGCCCTGTGGAGTGCTGGGACTGCAGGTGGGCACCACCACACCTGGCTCAGAGCTAAGAGCTTTCCAGGGCGGGATCCTCTCTTGTTCTCCTCACATGAACAGTAATAGCAATAAGAGCAAATGTGGGTGGGTGACTCGTACTGCGCATAGCTACACTCACGGATAGACTTTTAGTGAGAAAATTCTCAGGCATGCAAAAGTCGAGACAACAGTGGAATCAATGTTTGCATACCTACTCATTACCTTACTCTCAAAATAATCATCACTTTTGCACCAGATTTTATCTGTGCCCCCCACTTTCCTCTCCAGTCTGGATTAGTGAAGCAAGCCCTTTCTCCTTGTACCTACACTCTGCACACACACCATTAATGAGCTACACTTTCACAGGCTGATGCCATCATCATCATCACCATCATCACCATCATCACCATCATCATCATCATTATTATTAATTTTGGTACCAGAAATAAAACTCTGAACCTCATACTTGCCAGGCAGGTGCTGTGCTGCTGAGCTTTATCCCTGGGCCATTACTACCTGAAACTTTTAGGAGAAGAAATTTGGCATAAAGAAGCTAAGTAGTGTCCAGAGTTATGCAACTGGAAGTAGGAGAAACAGGTTAAACCCACGTGGTTTGCTCTTAATTATTGCTTCTCACCATTTCTCCTCCACAGAAGCTGTTTAGTGGACATTTTGAACTTTTTATGCTTTTTGAGACCGGGTTTTGCTGTGTAGTTCAGGCTGGCCTTGAGCTCACTCTGTAGGCCAGGCTGGTCTCGAACTTGCAACAATCCTTCTGCCTCAGCCTCCCGAGTGCTGGAATTACAGGCATGCACCAGCATGCCTGGGTTCAAGTGGATAATTTGAAATGAATGAGAAAGCAAATGAATGATGAGAGCCAATAAAGGAATGAGTTGAGGCCAAAGCTATGGGCCCCGCTGAGGGATGCCCCTTTTCCTATCCACCACACCCCTCTCTTCCTGAAACCCTGGAGATGCCACAGTTGGCTTCCAAGGAGAGGTCCCTGATGGATTTGCCCTCTGTCCCCACAGCTAGAGGAGGAGGTACTCGTTGACAACTGCCAGAAGCAGTGCGTGTGCCATGCAGGCAAAGGCATGGAGTGCCAGGACCACAGCTGCGAGCCCGGGCAGGTGTGCGAGCCCTTAGACGGCATCCTGAGCTGCATCACCAAAGGTGCGGGACTGCGGGCACGGAGGACAGGGAGCTGGGAGGTACAGCTTCAGGGTGGGAGGTGCTGAGGCTCCGGGCGAAGGAGTCAGGCCCTGGGTTCTCAGAGCTAAGGTGGGGATAATCCATCTGGGAATCAAGGACCTCAGAGGGCATCAGCAGTGAGGACCCCAGAGCCAGGCTGCCCGGGCAGATGTCCAAAGCCCTCTGTTTCAGGCAGGGACAGGTGACCTTATCTCTGGCTGAGCATTTCTC